CCGTGTAATACTACTGCAGGCAGTCACACAATGGGCACTTGAGCTAGATCCAACCATTGAACCAGAAGAATTTGCTGGCTAAATTGATGCTGGATTACACACCTGGCCCATTTATTAAACTCCCTTTTCCTTTTGTAGGGGAACTAGTCCAGAGACTGCTGGGAGGCAAAGCTCAGCACATCTCTGCACCTGGGGTTCAAGCATGGAGATACTATCATTGTGTAGGTTGACTTGCAGGTACAGAAATCCAAGCTAATACACAATTTATGGGAAAGCAGGATTTCGGTAATTTTAGACAACACATACATCTGCTTTTTATGATTTTTTTTTTTCATAAACATTGCACATATTGCTAATTTCAAAATCTTAAAATTAAGAAATTAAGAAAGTGTTAGAAATCTCCTTTCACTAGAATTTTGTTCTCTTCTATCAAGTTGCCTTTTCAGTGTCAGAGACTTGTGGGTAGAATTTTGCTGAATTTCTTCTAAAGATTTGCCGTCAAAAGCCAATGTTTACACAAATCAAATTAAAACAAGAGTAAATATTGATTTAACTTCCCTCTTTCCACTCCAGACATGTGCTTGAAATGCTGCTGCATGGTAACATCATTCATATCCCACTTTACTCAGCTCCCTTGAAGGTCTCCCTCTCAAAACTTTAATCTTAATATTTTGACCCTCATTTGTCCCCCAAGCTATTTCCCTCATTTGCCTGCAGACACAGTTCCCCCCATCAGTCCTCCATCTCTCCCACTGACACTTGCTCTCATTGCTCTTTGCTGCAAAAATCTGTGCTGTGAACACAGTTTGACATTTCCTGACATTTCATGAACTAATTACACTACAAATAATTAAGCATGTTCACATCTGTAACAAACGAAGGCAAAATGGTTGTCAGCAACTGTGATTGATGACCTCCCTGAGACTTTATCTGATGAGATTCTTCCCCACTATAGGCAGAACCTGGATGCCACTGTGTTTGCAATAATGCCTTCAGCCCTTTTCATCAGATCAAACCAATGAGATGCTTGAAGAAAAGGATGGGAAAATTAATGACTACAATGAAATATTTGCATTTTTTCCAGGCCTGGAAAAAACAATGAACAAGAGATGTGACAACCTCAATTATTTGGTGATGCTAAGAGCTCTGAGACAGCTCCTGCTGGAAAGAGCTGTTGGGAAGCCTGGGGGTGTCAAGTCGGCTAGAAAAATGGCAGGTGACAAGGACAACACTTTTTTTATTTTTTTTTTATTTTTTTTAACACTACCCACAACCACATAGCTTAGTTAAAAAGACAAATTGCAGCCTTGTGTTTCTTCTTTAGGGAGGGGACATATTTGAGCTTTGAAACACAACCTTCTTTAAATGTGGCACTGGAGCAAAAATTATATTGGTAAATGTTGTCTCCTCCAGAGACAACATAAAGAAACATAATTCACTGGTGCCAAAGCTCTTTAAAAGGAAGAAAACCAGCATGGTCAAGATCCTATGTGCTATAGTCAGTGCTAGAAAAATACATCTATATGTGTATTTGTATGATTATACAAATAAATATATATGGAAAAAAATAAAGTTTATGTGCATGTGTGCATGCATGTGTATATGGAAATTATACAACACATGGATACACAGATTAAACATGACACTCTGAACTACCCTGCAGTATGAGGATAATTTTACACATATACAGACTGCCTGCAGAGAAACCAAAATGCCCTTCATCCTAAAAGAAAATTAAAAATGAGGGAAGAAAATCCCAACCCTTGAAAATGAGGAGTACATATGATTATCATCTCTATATTTCTGAGAGCTCCTGTGCTGCTGTGTTTCCAAGCCCTTTGAAAACGAAGAATAAAATAAAAAGGAAACAACCTGGTGCACGACAGAATTTCACTTTTTCAAGACCATACTAACATTATTCTTACATTAATAATAATAATAATAAGGGATATGAGAGGTGTTCAGTGAAATAGAACTAGGAGAGCTGAATAGTAAGGCCAGGACACACGCTGGAAAACAGGGACTATTTACTTCTTCCTGATGCTGAAAACACTTAAACAAACTTCAGCTGCCCCAGGCATTAGAAATAGAAAAAAAAAAAAAAGTATTCTAGGGTCATAATACTTGCCTATCTCACCCCACTATTACAAGGATTAATTAACACTATCCATGTGTTTTGAACATCTTGGGTGTCACAAGAGCATCAATGAAGACTCCTGCTGACCCTCTGGTGAGTGGTGACTGCCGTGCCTGAGACACCATCCCTGTGGATACGGTGTCTTCCCCAGGGCAGTGCTGGGAGCTGCTGGCTGCCCATGGAGCAGTGAGAACCTTTTTTTTTAGGGTCACAGGGAAAGAAGCTTGCTCACCTCTGAAACCATTGAGAGACTACAAAGAGAAGGGTGCTGTGTTTATCCAGTGATGCCACTGCTACTGCTGGAGGAAATCAAAATCGTTTAGGTTGAATTTTGTGCTCAGGTTAAAACAAAAACCCAGCCTAGTAAGGTCCTTGGGTAAGATGTGATTATGACTGTGCCACCCAGCCCTATGTGTCAAGAGCTTCTGACATCCTGTGAAGGGTTACAAAAGCAAGGCTGGCAGGTTAACACAATGGCAAAACAAACCACGAGAGGTTTCTATGATAATTTCTTGACTTGGAACATGGAACTGAGTTTGCTTATGTTTTTAGCCCCCACCGAATGTACAAACTAGTACAAGAAATTCCTTATGATTGTTGCTAGTGTGCTGTTGCAGGTGGGAGGTGTGTTATTCTGCTAGAAAAAGCAATAAAAGGCATTTACCTATATGTTATTATGCATATTCCCATTCACAATTCACAAAATAACTTATATCCTTGCCTGTTTAGGACCTTTTCCTGCACTTTTGTATGGTTAACTGAAAGTCTTTTCCACTGACAGCTGCAAGTATTCAGGCAGGAATATCCAGTTCCTAAGGAGAATTGGCACGGAAATACACTGAGGAATGAATGATAATGGCAAAGGTACAATTTATTGTCCTACAAGTTAATAAGGCTGTGGCCTAATTGCTTAAACCATTGCTCCTAAACCATTGTTTCTCCACCTTGCCAGTCTTCCTGTGTGGCTGAGCAGATTGATTCTGCCTGTGCTTGGACATTTGCTGCATTAACTTTGTCTGAAGTTCTCATATGCAGAGAAGATGGGATATTATAAGCCAGGTGTCCGTGTAAATGGACACCTGATGCCCTTGAAACATTAAATTTTCAAACTTCTAGGTAAATAGAGTCTTTTATTCTTTAACACAGAAGTCAGTTACACCATGGCATTGACTGAATCAAGCAACAAATAAGATTTAAGTGTATCCAGTATTTTTAGGGAAAATGTCTAAGTCAAACAGATTAAATGCCTTGGCACCAGTTCCAAAGTAGGATTTTGTATTCAGCAGCTGGCATTTCAAGTCTTAAAATTTTGAGTACATTAACCTGACTGTGAAAGGGGTTTAGAGTAAGTATTTGAGACTTCCATGCAGTCTTTCAGTGCAAAAGTATGATTGTTATCTACATTTCACCTGAACTCTTTTAAAGTTTGATAATTGGTTACTTTTGAATGCACATTTAATTTTACATCCAAGAAATCTCATTCAGTACAATACACAAAGTCCATAACAGAAATTGCATAAATATTTGACAGATTAGTCATTGTCTTTATAAATGTGCAACCAATATAAGCTGAGTTCTGGCAACAAATCTGTATCTAAATTGACCCCTGTGCCTCATTTTGATTTAAATATTTTCTAATCCCTCCTCACAAAACAAATTGCATCAACCATGACTACATTTAGCCAACTACAGTTCTCATTGTTTTTGTTCCTCCTCATAAGTTCTTCCTACAGATTAAATGCTGATGCACTGAACTAACTGCTCTTGGCTGAGGTGGGCAGGTGTAATTTGATTAGTATAGATCCTGGATTTGGTAAGTACTGTATCAGTATCCTCCCTAGAAAATAGGTGACATGTCATGGGATATTAAGTATGGCCATTTAATGTAAAAACTCAGATAATACATGAGTTAAATGGACAAAATGAGAGAAAGCTTTTAAGCATTCTCCCAAGACAGATTGCAGAATAATATTACTGTACACGCAAGTAGAGCTGATTGACACAGTCAGAAGGCCATTATACTGGTATGGTATAAAATCATTATAGCAAAAAGCTTTTCAGAGCTGCAGAGTGATAGTAGCAACATATAATGAATTATCAATAAAGAAGTGGTGATTCAGTTACATTACATATGAATAGAAAGCTTCCTGTTATATAATTTAAACCTGCCAGCCTGACAAGTGACTTGAATATTCAATTCCTTCTCTAGGTGTATGAATCATCCTTTAACTTTATCGGAGACTGCAATTTTGTAGGGCAGGCCAGAAACTGAGCTATGCTAAGCAGCGTTTTTAAAGAAAGGTTGGTTGAGCAGATTTCAACAAGGCAGCCTCTGCTGAGGCTCTCTTTGGGCTCTCATTGAAACAGCATCAGCCTTTGAGATGGTGCTATAAAATAAATATTTCTTCTGGTTTATGGCAAATAAACATAAACTAAAGTCTTTCAGCAAATAGCACCAACATTTAAAGGTTTTAATTTTATCTTACCATAAAGCCCTTGAAGTTCATATTGTCACAAATTACCATTAGTGACAAGGCCCTAAGAAAAAGATCCCCAAACTATCAGTACCAAATCCCTATCTTTTGAAGGTTGTGCTCCCAAAGGAGGCTTGTCTCAGACCTTGCTCCTGCATGAAGCTCTTCTGAAGTGAACTACAGCATGTTAGTTAAGTGTTGCAACATGATCCCATGGGAGGATTAGGACCTTTGGGAAAATTACAGGTCCTTTTAAATGATTATATAGTATCTGCAGTGCTAACATAATACCTAAGTCAAAGATAACTGCACTGGAAGCTTAAGAGTAATTAACTTTAAAGTTCAGGGAAACAGGAGGATTCAGTTTGAATGCCCTCAGTGTTAGAACC